GTTCTATTTCTTGTGCTCCACTGATACAAGATCTAGATAGCTGTTTGGGAATACAGTAGAAGATCTTAAGGTATATACGGGATTCCAATCAGATCTATCATACATCCAAACTGGAGACCAAAACCAGCAAGTGACCATACCACGACGACCAGTACGACGAGACGAAGAGATCGCCGTCGAGATCGCCGCCAGCCGCCGCCACGCGTCGCCGGAAGGGAGCAGCTGCCGGAACTTACACGAGCGCGTGAGAGCGCGTGAGACCTCCGTTTTCCGATCGGTCAACGCCGTGACGTCAGCTTTCTCGATTGGTCAAGTTTGTTCGATTTCGAGAAGATTTGATTTGCGGTCAACTGTTCGGGCCAGCCAGATCTACATAAATTTTAAGCAGTAAGTTTTCTTCATCAAACCTTTAGATCCGCTGCGCATAGGTTTATTTTGAATGTTTGTCCGTGATTTGTGCATATCGAGATCCTCATATGTCCCAACATTCCTAACGTCAGGTGGCTCGATCGGAGTTCGTCGGATGGCCCGAGGTCAGAGTTCGAAGATCGGCTTGAGACTAAGGCTCCTTGTCGCACTGTCGATCGCCCCGATCTTCTGTCGCCGTGGACTCTAATTCCAGCCGTCAGGAATGGTTCTCGTCGCTGGCAGTCGGACGTGCACTCGAACTCACCGGAACGTCTCAAAACACCGATGAGACTCACGGACGATGTGACGTTGGAACGGAGAGAGAGAATTTGTGACTCAAGGTCGCGGCTCGGGCGCGCTCAAATCTTTTCGCCGGAGGTTTCTTTGTCACTGGCGACCCGTTGCATAGGTCGCCGGAAATGGTTAGCTCTCGAATTTTGCTGGCATTTTAAGGAGTTCTCTTAATTTCTAAAAGGGATGAAAATGGAGATGGTGGAATTTTATGTGCGGTTCTTGCTCTCCATCCCTTAAATAGCGCAAACCTGATCGGAACTGCGTAGCCAGATTTAATGGAGGTGATGAGGTCGAGAAAGAGGGGCACCGTTGGGGATGAGATGCGACTGGTTCTTGGGCTGGGAGTTCTAATACTAGGCAATAAAACACACACACAAAAATAACAGTAAAACGCAAAAATAACAAGACTTAGGCAAATTGGACAACAAATAAAATTAATCATAAAAACACATATTCACTTAGAAAATAAGTCACATAATCACATAATTCACTTAGGCAATTAATCAAATAATCAATTAAGCAATTAATCAAATGTTCACATAGGCAAATAAAATAGACAACTAATCACTTAAGCCAATAATCAAATAATCAATTTAAGAAATTAATCAAATAATCACTTAAGCAAATAAGTCACGAAACACATTTAACATTTATGACAAATAAGTCAAACAAGAGCAAATACGAAGAAATAAACAACAAGACTTGAACTTAGTCGACCGATGACAATGCTTTGATTTTCTAAAAAAAAACGAGGCGCTACATATCGAGCCTTAAGTACCACTTATAATGAACACATAGAAACACCGAATATCGGTCGAAAATTATGTTCATACGACCCATGATCACTCTCACATTAGTTTATAAGAGATTTAAAAATGTTTTTTCAGTGAGTTTAATCGTAAAATGGTCATGAACTCTACACACTAATGAGAAAACACTACTACTACACTTCACTTCATTGAATGACACACTTCATCTCATAGAATCATCATACATGACTACTCCAATTTCTACCTAGATGTTAACTTCCAATATTTTTCAACCAAATCACGTGTTAACAATCCACGTGACATGGTAGACATGAAGGATTAGAAATATCATGATTGTTACGATAGTACCTGGTTTAGACAAAATAGTACCACATATTCTTAGACGTGGTACCTGTTTTCAGTCGATCAGTACCTACTTTTGTGAAGGATAATTGATTATTTCAACTCTGGTCAACATTTAAAAAAAGTAGTACTAGTCATGAGTTAGTCAGTACCACTTTATGGTAGATTAGTACCACATTTCAGGTCTTTAGTACCACTTTTAGTGAACACATACTGATATAGGATATTATACTAGACCCGGTTTAATGGATAAAGCGGATACATATTGGAAGATAAGCCCACTAAGACATCTAAGCCCAACTTGGGCCCAAAAGGTACACTCCCCATATAAAAGGGGGCCAAGGTACCTCATTCTCTCATCCTCTCCTCATTCCATTACTACACTTTATCTCTCTCTTGATCCGAGCACTGACTTAGGCATCGGAGGCCCGACGTCGGGGCCACCCCTGGCGTTGGGTTCTGCAGGTACGGAGGCCGGTTCGAGTTGAAGGAGCCCGGGTGAATCTTATTCACTTCATTGGCGCCGTCTGTGGGGACCTGTAAAAAAGTCAAGCGGAGTTCCGACTGAAAAAATTCAAAAAACTCCTTCTTCTCCACCGGCCATCGCCACTGCCGGCCACCACCTCCACCGCCGGCCGCCAGAAAACGTGCTCCGATCTGAAAATCATCTACGTCATCGGATAGATATTCTCAAGGTGAATCTATCCTTAAAATTTTGTGCAAAAATTCCTCCGGGAAGGCTTTCAATTTCGCGGTCAAAGTTTCCAGATCTAGCATGAAATCAGTCAAAATCGGGCATTCAAATGCATTTTCTCGATTATCCGGGAAGGCTGTGAAATATCCGAGGGTACCACAGGAGTCCTCTCGTCGAGGCGAGTTTCCAGATCATCACCTCCGCTGGGCGCCGCCGTCCGCCGCCGCCTCCTCCGCCGTCGGCCGCTGCAAAAAATCATCCGATCGGAACTCTTTCTCGTTCTACCCTTGAAATTTCGTACAAAAATTCTTCCGGGAGGGGTATCGATTTGTCGGTCAAAGTTCTTGGATCTAACAAAAAAATTGGTCAAACCTCCGGTCTTCTCTCCTGATTTCCCGGCGATTTCTGGCGAGTCGCTTCGAACCAACCGCACCATCAGATTCTCCTCGTCTAGGCGCGTCCACAACTGGTTATTTTTGTCAGAGTCGACGAGCCTCGGTCGGCGGCATTTTCCGGCGAGCTGCTCCTGCATCTACTCTTCACGCAGCTCAGGTACGGATCTTGCTCTCATGAGCCCGACGCCTCTCAGCCCAGCGAGAAGCCCTCACTTCAGCCCAGCGAGATTCACAGTGCAAGAGGCCCAACGTGTGGCCCGTTCCAGCAGCCCAACAAGAAATCCCGCAGCCCAGCTCTGCTCCATCCCAGCGCGCGGGCCGCGTCTGGCCTGCAAAAACCCGAAGGCAGCCCGCACGCCAGCCCGCGCTGCCCCCAGCCCGCCTCCTCACAGGCTCCAGCCCGCGCTCCAGCCCGCGTTTCGGCCCGCGTCTGGCAGCCCAACTCCAACAGCTCCCGGCCTGCGTGCGGCCCACTTCACTCCAACCCCCTACTCACGGCACAAAGCCTCAGGGTGCGGCCCATTTCGCTGGTCTAGCTTATTTTGTGACCAAGACATCCATTTCAGCTTATTTTGTGCCCAAGATTAATTCCGGATGATTAAACATGGACAGTAAGGTAATTTGAGATATTGTTCTCGCAACGGAGGTATGTGACTAATTTAAATATGGAGATTTGAGGATTTAAATTGGTGAGAATGGGAGGTATTATTTGATTTAAATTGGAAAATTGGCATGCTCGAGATATTATTTGATTGGCTCGTGCGATTATTGGATGTATTTATGGATGGCTCAAGCGATTATCGGATTTATTTGTGAATGACTATTTGTTTTGCTCGAGCGATTTTGAGATTGATGTATGGATGATTATTTGATATTCGAGGAGGTGCTATTTGATTTATCTGTGGAGGTATTTGATTTGCTCGTGGAAGTATTATTTGACTTATTTGATTTATGCATGGAGGAATATTTGATTTGCTTGAGCGATTAATGAATTTATGCGTGGAGGATTATTTGATTTATTCGAGGAGATTGCTTGATTTATTCGTGAAGCATATTTAATTTATTTGAGAATTATCCGATTTATTCGTAGCCATACTTGAATTATTCGAGGAGATATTATTTTATTTACCCGAGGAGGTGCTATTTGATTTATCTGTGGAGATGTTTGACTTATTCGAGGAGGTGCTATTTGATTTATTTGTGGATGATTATTTGATTTATTCGAGGAAATTATACGATTCAGTTTCTTGATATATCTGAAACCGCTGATTTGAATTTTCTTGTGAAAATGTGCACTTTGTTGAAATGGATTATTCGTATGCATGTCATTGCTCGAGAAGGTCTTAAATCGAGGAGATGGCGATGCTTTTATTTGATATCTTATTTTTCTTGCGTGGAGCATTGCAAAAAGGATAACTTGAATATAATGTGGATAATGATATTTCTCTGAATTCTTGTCGAGGAAACAACGAAATAACCCGAGTCCGGACGAGATGGGGTGGACGAGTTGTTAAGTGTCGAGGACAAAATGGACGAGCATGGATCTATACAAGCAGGGACGAGCATGGATGATGTCGATCACCGGTGGCAGTCTCAAAGGCAAAAATCATTCTCTTTTGGGAAGGTAAGACAATTTGGAGCGGTATTCTCGACCTTCAGGTATAAAGCTATTCTCGACTCTGGTTCGGTGGTCGTGTTTAATCGACAGGGGATTATGGTCATTCTTTGTGTACTCTGGACAAACTGTTGAGGAGATTGTGATGCATATCGACATGGTTGAGATTATTATTCGGATGACTAATAAAATGATTGGGTGTTATTATATCTTGTCATACTCGATGTTTTCCTTTTCGACCTCAGTGGCAGGTCGAAGAATTCGAGCACACGTTACCATGCACAACAAGGAAAGGGAGGTAGAAAAATACATTCAACATTTTTTATCTCGTTCGACGCAATTATACATTTGATGATACTAACGGAGAGGATCAATTGCTATCATATCTTGTTGTGCTCGATGTGTTTCTGTTTGACCTCAGTGGCAGGTCGAAGAAAACAATCCACCATGACTAAGGCCTCCGGGCTGGGTGGTCGCTTGTTTAGAACACCCCCTGTGGTGGGCAGGTTGGTCGCCTGTTTATATCATTCCTCGGGGTGGGCAAGTGCCTGAAGAAAAAAAATCCACCATGACTAAGGCCTCCGGGTTGGGTGGTCGCTTGTTTCGATAGGCCCCCTCGGGGTCGGCAAGTGCCCGAAGACAAATTCCACCATGACTAAGGCCTCCGGGCTGGGTGGTCACTTGTTTAGTACACCCCTTGGGATGGGCAGGCTGACCCCCTGTTTCGAACATCCCTCGGATTGGGTGGGCAAGTGCGAAGACACGGATAGCTCGAGCAGATCTCGGAGGCAGGTCGATGATTTCTATTCGGTTCTGTTTGATCTGGTATTATTGTATATTTGTTCCTAACCCAGTGGCAGGTTGAGGGAAGCCAAAATCCACCATGACTAAGGCCTCCGGGCTGGGTGTTCGATCCTAGTGTTGGGTCGTGAAGACACGGATAGTTCGAGCAGACCTCGGAGGCAGGTCGATGATTTCTATTCGGTTCTGTTTGGTCTGGAATTATTGTACATTTGTTCCTAACCTAGTGGCAGGTTGAGAGAAGATAAAATCCACCATGATTAAGGCCTCCGGGATGGGTGGTCGATCCTTGTGTTGGGTCGTGAAGACATGGATAGCTCGAGCAGACCTCGGAGGCAGGTCGATGATTTCTTCTTGATTATATTTGGTCTGTTATCATTGTACATTTGTTCCTAACCTAGTGGCAGGTTGAGAGAAGACAAAATCCACCATGACTAAGGCCTCCGGGCTGGGCGGTCGATCCTAGTGTTGGCTAACAGATTTACTTGATTTGGTTACGTGCTATTTATGCCTCTGACCTCAGTGTGGCAGGTCCATCGAACTCTCTACGGATA